TCTTTTGCGCTACATTTTATGGATACTGTGCTCTGTCCGCCCAAGACACCATGCCCATGCCTATGGAATCTGGACCTTCGGCACCCTACAGCTCCTGCCACGCACACCACGCCCTAGGTGACAGCTGACTCTTGCTTGAGGACTGGGCATGAAGGAGGGGCCAAGCTCGGAACGAAAAGGCGGATGGCTTCGTACCAGTGTACTTTCACCCATGACGCAGTTGCCAGCCAAACTATCGGTATACAGTACGTTTTTGCCAAGCAGGCTGAGTGATGCCGCCCAACCATCCTCCATTCACCGACCAACTGACTCCCATTGTTAGTTATTATTCGAACGCTGGCTGTGTGAGCGTCTTTCACATCCTTTGCGTCAACATCCATGATCCATATCGGAGGTTTCGCAATCCCACGTTCCAATCTGCCGCCAATTTGCCCGCTCGGGAGTCGGACAGTCGTTGCCAACACACTTTTTGCCCTCACTGGCTTGCCGAAACCAAGAAACAGTCCATACTGCCTGCCTCCCTCATCTAGACATGATCATGGATGGAACCTGCTGTGGAGGAACCATGATGGCTTGCCGTCTCGACATCTCACTGGCTGAAGCTTGAAGCCCCCGCGATGCCCGCGATGCGGATCTATCGATAGACCCGTCTACGGATACGCAACTTTTTCTTTTCCTCTCTCATGACCGATGACACCCACGTTTACCACTCAAGCCTACCTTATGCTTGCATGACCGGGTCATCAAGTCAATCTCGGCCGGACCCCTTGGGATGACTGATCAGTGTGAACAAAGTACTCCTTACGCTGCCTGCGTCTCCGGAGAGCATCAGAAAAAACCATCAATTAATACCCACTCACCACTCACTGCAACAACACGGCCCATGGCTTTCAGGCTGCCACCACTCTGTTCCCGTCTAGGGCTTGCGCATCCACCGCCTCAGGTTGATTCATAGGTACTTCTCATCAGATTCAGCTTGCAACACGCAAGAATCAAGCGGGTGCATCTCAAAGCTACTTTCAGTGTACGTACGGATCCCTCACCAAGAAAGTCTGAGCGAAACAATAAGACTAGTCCATTGGCTGTCATGCCCGGCGTACGGAGTATTGCCAATTCGGCCGTCCCCTTGGAATGAGATGACCTGCGGTAACTCTGTCAAATCTCCTGGCCTTTGGCTTCTTCTCCCGCAGTTGTATCGACATCTACCTAGGTGTCCGGACGGGTACAAGCTGCGACTCCATTCCGTCCATTATTGACGCTTGGAGGGGGAGACAAGAAGGCGCCACGTTACTCACACCACCCACACCTAAATTCCAAAGCCTTAATTCATACACATGCTACGCGTGCTTTCGAATAGGCACCTAGCAAAATCCGTACCGCCCCTCGCCGCTGTCTCCGCAAACCATCCTCCAGAGTTCAGGGCCAAGGGGTGTGTGGGCAGAACTGCAAACTAAAACTGTCGGTTGAACGAGATCTGTGATCCGCTCCCATCCGTCCCACCTACCATCCTTTTGGAAAGCGGCTTGTCAGTCGATGCTCCCACACCTACTTGGCACACGCCCCATTTGACCACAAGGATGGCTGCAAACAATCAACGTTCCGTTTCGTACTTTTTTGCTGTCGCTCAACAGGGCTTGAAATCGTCCATGTATGGACTCCGCATGCACGTCCTCCTACCAGTAGACTATTGCACGCGCATCCGTTCCGTACGATCTCTCACGGTCAATGCCGATGCCCAGCAAGGAACTACAGTCCTTCTCTCACGGACACATGGTAGTCTGGTCCGGAAGACGCCAGAAACGTAGTCTGGTCGGCAGGCGTGAGTCAAACCGTCACAACAAATTCAACATGGTATCTCACCATCTGAACCGGGTACCATGAAGCGCGGAGCGGGGTTTCGCTGCTTGACTTTTATTCGTATACTGCGTACGGCTTTGGGGAAGCGATGGAAGCATGCGGATACATCGCATCATAGCCTGCAAAGTTTCTGCCGACAACCAACCTGGCAGCCGGCTTGCTCTCTCGGACGAGTACGTACTGCCCGACCAGGGGTTCCCTCATGCGGAGCCATCTCCGTGCTTCTCTCAAAGTTCTTCTGCGCCCTGAGACCATGACCCGATGGAGATCGTGGGCTTTCCATAGTCTGTGCTTTCCGCATCTTATTTTTTTTTTCCTTGTATCCTCCTGGATGGTGTACTGACCGTACGATGGATAGAAGGTTTTTCGCTCCGCTTTAAACAAAAACGACTCAACGATGCTTCAAAGTGCAGTGCGGACAGGCTTCAAGGAACAGATGAATCTTTGTCTCATTTCCACGATGTTGCGGGCCATCAGCCGTCTCAGTATCAGAAGCGCATGTTGTGGTCAAAAAGATGTAAGTTCCTCCTTTCCAGGTTGGCACACAGGAGGGTCAATCGGTCACACACACCACTGTGTACATACGGATATTATGTCTTCAATCATCAATGACAGGCAGCCAGGTGTGTGGCACTTTCTCGGAAACCACCAAAACAAGCCGCAAGATGCACATCCCCATCTTCACGTACCAGCGCCGCCGTGCTAGGGGCCTAGGGGGAGAGGAGGCTTGAGGCTTGGAGCCTTGGAGGGATGACGGTTATGGATTCATGGTCCCAGGAGCGGGTGTCTCTCCCCTGGGTTCCATAGATCCCCGACGGGCTAGCACTGCAACGCCCCTTCTCATCCGACCCGTCAGTTCAAACTAGGCGTACCGGGGTGTTTCCATCCTCGATGGCGGCTTATGACTGGTCAGGCGGTGACGGAACTTGGACGACTCAATGCAATAAGACCACCCTCAGGGTTGGGGAAACGAGACCTGCCGCGGCGCCACCTGTGGTCTCCCTTGGACCCCTTCTTAACTTTTGGGTCCCTGGACAGGCAGGCGGCGCGCTCTTCTCTGGTAGCACTAGTATACGGAGAGTGCGAGGAGGTGATGGCGGTACTTTGTATCAGTGCCTGCGAACAGCAACCTAGAAGGTACCGCAGCCCAGCGGTGTTGCACCAGACGCAAGCAGGGATAGCCTCTTTCCCAGAGTCCCAGACTCCGACCTGGCGGCGTGAGCGCCTGGGCCGAGCGGTTCTTCCTGGGGCCAAAGACATTCCATCCATCTTCTCTTTGGTTTCCTTGCGTCCTTGACCGCCCGCCGCCCGCGAGGCCCCCCCCCCCCTTTTCATGGATCATGAACCGTATCTGGGGGTGCCACAGTAAGTACCTGGGTACGGAGTACCTGGAAGTGGTAAACTCCCTCCTCTCAGTCTTCCCTCCCAGAACCCAACTTCCCAAGACCCAGCCATTTGCCCAGAATCAGAATCAGAATCAGGTGCCTTGCCCTGGCACCCCCCGGCCTGTACCTGCTCACCCGTTGACCAGGTCGATACCTTGCGTGCCGTTGTCCCACAGGCAGTCTGTCTTGGCCGTACATTTTCGAACCTTGCATCCCGCCATGGCACTGCAGTCACGGTCGGTTTGACATGGCGCGGTGCGCGGTGCGAGGTGGAGGGGACGACGAAGGCAGTACGTACTCCGTTCCCAAGGGCTGTCCAAGACTCCAAGTCCCATCTCAGGTGCGTTCTGTTACCCAAACAATGGAGACGCGACACTCACTCACTCACAGTCACACAGCACCCACCGAGTCCTGAGTCCTGGCCAGCACACGGCGTCCAGTTGAATGGGCACCGCAACCTGGTTCGCTCCACACTCCATTCGTCCACCCACCGCCGACGCTCCCTCCCTAGCACAGTGATCCCATCCATCCATCCATCCATCCCTCCATCCCTCCCTCCTCCAGAGAGTCCAGAGTCTGGTGTGGGAGTGTGTCCACTCGTGCCCATACTTCGCAGTGTACATACACACGCTACCGTGTGCCAGAGAGGCCAGGGCCACACAATCTGAGCCAGAGCACCAGGGCAGAGAGACCAGCGAGGCGAGGCAATCAACCACTCATCCACTTCCGCATCCACATCCACACCCACCGCTGCTTTGCCCACACGCACACCAGCGCTATCGACAAGTCCGTCCCATGCTTCACTCCTCCCAGACTCCCAGTGCCTCCTCCTCCTCCTCCTCCTCCTCTCCTCCCTCCCCCCCTGTGGCCCTCCTCCCCCCCGCGGTCATGGAGTACATACGTACCTACTGTAAGAGGTACCTGAAGCCACAAAGGGAATCAGCCGCCTCGTTCTGCTTCGACTCCGAAATGCACGACGCTCCGTAGTGAGATGATCCATGCTCAACTCATATGACGCAGCCCGCTGGCCGCCCCCCCCCCCCCTTACAAGTTACCACCTAGTGTACCTAGAATCCCAGACACTTGCTTCGTTCCCATACTATGCAGTCCACACTCACCTCACTTACGGAGCACACACCCATACCGGTACCCCATACGCTCACACGAAGAGAGACGGAATCAGTACGTTACCCCCCCTGCCCAGCCACGCCTGGGACGTCTGCCGCCTGCGCTGGCTGCGCGGATACCTCCCATCAACATCCCATCCTCCACCCATGCACGCAACCTGCGCTCGCTGCCTCTTGGTACGAAGTACACACATACACACACACACACACACACACACACACACACACATGCCAAACCGTTCATGGTCTGAATTACTTGCTGGCCCACTTCGCACCCTTGGACGTCTTGCTCCTCTACGGATACTGGAGCTAAGGTTTGATTTTATCCTTCAAGACCGATCTAGTATCACCCATGTCTTTTCTCGCTACTGTAATGTAATCCCTTGGGCCTTTTGGGACCATGACCTCTTGTCCATACATAGCCTGGGCTGAGTCCGTCCTTTCCATATCACGTATATCATCATCATCCACCGCATATCCTTCGACAATGGACTTTTAGTTAAGAAACAAACAACCCGCAACCTCTCATACCTTTACCCATCATCTCTATTCACCACAACACAATACCTGTCCTGCACCCACTACCTACCTACACACACACATACATACACTCACGCACACATCAAACAAGATGATGCCCACACTCATGGGAGGCGTTCTTCCCGGGCCTGTTCCCACACCCTATCACACCGACACCTTTTTGGACGACTTGTCGAGACAAATGGCTCTCTCCCAGGCGTCACGGAGGCTTTCTCGAGGCTCCAACGGACAACGCAACGCAGGAGCTATGCGTGTAGCCAAGCCCACCAGCGCAAGCAACAGCCCGAGGTCAGCAGCGGCCATGCAGGCAAGGAGGAGGACTGTGGTCAACGATGGAAACCTGGCGAGGCGGAGGCAGCAGCCCATGGACCAAGTCCCGATGCCCGACTATGGATCTCAGTCACGACCGAGCCGTCCCCTTAGCTGGCACCCTTCGACCTTTCAACAACAGAAGATGGCCGTCCCTCAGAGCATGGCACAATACCCATTCCCTCCTGTCACGTCGGGGTACGATACAGACAGCTATCACGTATACCAGCAATTCCCACCAACACCGGCAGCCTACTCTTGCAACACCTCCCCTGTTGCCTCATTCTCCCCTCTATCACTTCCTTTTGGAGGATATGATGGACCCAACTACCTGCCTGTTGAAGGCTGGAACGTACCTCATCAAGCACCGCCGGCCTATGTCTCCTCAGACGCGTCTGGCTACGCTGAGCCTTTCCCATCTCTACCAACTACGCTCCCGGATCTTACGCCGTCTTCCACCTCGACACAACAGTGGAACTCGCACCACATGCACGGCTTCACTAGCACTTCTCCGCCCACCCCCGAAACGCTGCCGCAGGCACAGCAGCCCCAACCTATAGTGCCAAATGAGGACACTATCCCCTATCAACCCCTCGACGAGCCCGAGGAGGAGGGAGAGATCCTCGTGGGCATGGGGCTCTATGACGCTCCCGACAAGTACGACCAGGACCCGCAACTCGACACATCTCGTTCTGCCATGTCCTCGCTGCTGGGCAACTCTTTCCGCCCCCTGGAGGGTACGGGCAAGGGCCTGAAGCTTGAGGAGTCGTGGCAGCCTCCCGAGAGCGATGACGAGGATGAGGATGAGCAGGACGACGCCGATGGTGAAGATTCGGATTAATGACTCGACGAAGAAAAAGGGACTACTCTTACATATTACAACACCACACCAGCGCAAGCGTTTGATGATTTTACGACGAAAACCTGTAGACTATGTATGATATCAACAAGATGTACCATCAAAAATTTGGGCCTTGGGGGATCTTTGGGGCTAAGGAGCACCACACACGCTCTTTTCATGTCGAAGAAGGGAGGAGGAGATGATGAATGAAAAGACAAAATACCCAAAGATAGAAGCATGGGCCAAATTTGTGGCCCCGGCGTCACAAAAGGCAAAGGCCCATGAAAGCGCCTACCTTAGATAGAAACAATCAAAACGCGTAAAGCGAAACCCAAACATCTACTTGTTCACCCCATTTGCGCGTCGCCTTTCTAGTGTACGTGAATCGATCAGTCATAGTACCTAATAGCCGCTATGCAGTTTGAAATTTACGAGTTAACAGCATCTGCACCGACAGGACCATGAAGAGGAATGGAATTTGGAAGTGCAATCGTCAACGCGGACACTAAAAATAAGCGAAAAAGAGGCTCCCGAACGGCACCCCTGTCGAGGCATGGCATGAGCTGCATGTGGGTCCTTGTCTCCCCTGTCACTTCACGTCGGTTATCCAATCAGCTGAGAGAAGATGCTCCCCACCCCCGCCGTTCTGGCCAGCCCTGCCAGGTCAGAACACCCCGCCCGTGGCCCCTGGGAATTTTCTTGGTGACCTCACCGTAGTGTACTGTGTAGTCCAGCTGCCTGCACACCCAGCCACCTCCCTCCGTCTCCCATCCAGTCCTCTCCTCTCGCCAGGGCACTGGCACTCTACTGTGCGAGGTATCCGTACGAATACCGAGCGTGCACCTCCATCTCTGCGCTGCCCGTCGCTGTTTGTGTGTGGCGGCGAGTGAGTGAGCGAGCGAGCGAATGAACCTTCCATCAGAGTTCAGACTCCAATCCAATAGTGAGGGGTTGAGGGGGAACGGCCGCCGTTATCGGATCGACTTGGCACCTTCACTTTTTTTTTTACCCCACCATGGATGCTTTGGAAATTTTCCTCGCCCGTCGAGTCACGAATCGCGAATTACAGTACGACATTGAGAGAGATATCGGGCTCCAGTTCGGCTTCTCTCCCGTCAATTTCGAGTCCAAGTCGGGTGGGTTCCCTTCCATTCTGGCTTACCCCTCCTCCTCCGTTCGCTGCTGCTGCTATTTGTTGGAACCTGAATTGACTCACACTGAACAACCAAAAAAGTTGCAAACAACCAAGTTCAACCACGATACCATCATCACCCGGAAGAAACTAGTTGAATTTCAATATGGCATCCCAGTAAGGCTGATACTCCCGTCGAATGCTTCACTCCCAAAACAATTGCAGTTGCTAATGCGTTGATATCAACAGGAGTGTTTTGATGCTCGGCGCGGGCTTCGTGACCCGGCCGACGCTTGACATCCTCAGCGATGCCGGAATCCCCGTCACCGTTGGTACGAAGCTCCCCCATCCCACCACCACCACCAATTCCTCCTCCACCTATTCCCTACCCGCCAGAACAATTTATCAAGGCACCCGATATCGACCGTCAAATCTAGAATCATCAAAACTAATCGATTCTTCAACACGCAGCCTGCAGAACCCTCGAGTCCGCCAAGAAGCTGTCCGAGGGCGTCAAGCACGCCACCCCCATTTCTCTCGATGTCAACGACGACAAGGCCCTCGACGCCGAGGTGGCCAAGCACGACGTCGTCATCAGCTTGATCCCCTACACCTTCCACGCGACCGTCATCAAGTCGGCCATCCGCCAGAAGAAGCACGTCGTCACCACCAGCTATGTCTCCCCCGCCATGATGGAGCTGGACCAGGCCGCCAAGGACGCCGGCATCACCGTCATGAACGAGATTGGACTGGACCCCGGTATCGACCACCTGTACGCCGTCAAGACCATTGAGGAGGTCCACCGCGAGGGCGGCAAGATCCTCTCCTTCCTCTCCTACTGCGGCGGTCTCCCCGCCCCCGAGGCCTCTGACAACCCGCTCGGCTACAAGTTCTCGTGGTCCTCCCGCGGCGTGCTGCTCGCCCTCCGCAACGCGGCCAAGTACTACAAGGACGGCCAGGTCGTCGACGTCTCCTCCAAGGACCTCATGGCCACCGCCAAGCCCTACTTCATCTACCCGGGCTACGCCTTCGTCGCCTACCCCAACCGCGACTCGACCCCGTACAAGGAGCGCTACAACATCCCCGAGGCCCAGACCATTGTCCGCGGCACCCTCCGCTACCAGGGCTTCCCCCAGTTCATCAAGGTCCTCGTCGACATTGGCTTCCTCGAGGACGCCGCCCAGGAGACGCTCGCCAGCCCTATTGCGTGGAAGGACGCCACCAAGGCCGTCGTCGGCGCCGCCTCGAGCAGCGAGAGCGACCTCGAGGCCGCCATCGTCGCAAAGGCCCACTTCGAGTCCCCCGAGGACAAGCAGCGCATCCTCAGCGGCCTGCGGTGGATCGGCGTCTTCTCGGACGAGAAGATTACCCCCCGCGGCAACCCGCTCGACACGCTCTGCGCGACGCTGGAGAAGAAGATGCAGTTCGAGGAGGGCGAGCGCGACATGGTGATGCTGCAGCACAAGTTTGAGATTGAGCACAAGGACGGCTCGCGCGAGACGCGGACGTCGACGCTCGCAGAGTACGGCGAGCCCAAGGGCTACTCGGCCATGGCCAAGCTCGTCGGCGTTCCTTGCGGTGTCGCCGTCCAGCAGGTGCTCAACGGCACCATTGCCGAGCGCGGCGTCCTGGCGCCCATGAACTCCAAGATCAACGATCCCATCATGAAGGAGCTCAAGGACAAGTACGGCATCTACCTCATTGAGAAGACCCTGTCTTAAGAGAGGTCTTGTGAAGTTGAGATGGTGTTTGTATGTCTACCTACCGGGTTCAACTGTCAATGCGCGGGAATGGTTTTTTAGAAAATAAAATGAGCATGAGCAGTTGGACTTTGATGAGAACATAGTAAAAAGTTGAGACATTGTTCATCGGGAAGATTAGAAAACGCTTTGACGTGTCCACGAATTTGTGTTGGGTCTGATTCACCCCCCTAATTTTCCCACATTATTGCCTACTCAGGTCTTGAGTGAAGCCTGAAAGGAGTAATCGTATGTGTTGGACCATGCAGCATTCGGTGGACCGAGTGAGTCCGTGGGAGAATGCTCAGGTTGATCGGTTCGGCTTGTGACGATGGGCCAAAGGACGAGACGCCGCAGCAACTCATCTCGATTTTTCGTTATGAGAGACAGCGAAGGTACATACGAAGTGCTGTGGCCAGACAACATAGGAGAGTGACATTTTCAAGGTTCGCTTCGTCTGATGACCAGTTACGGGCAGCCTGTAGAGACGATGGTAAGTCCGAATACCTAACCGCGTGGAATGGAATGATGCTGTTTTTTTTTTGCCCCTGATTTGCGTTTCTGGTTGGACTGGGTGAAGTGAAGTGAGATGAGTGCGTCTTCTGGTTACATGTGGTGGCGTTGCGTGTCCCAGACGGATGGATTGTTCTACAAAGGTGAGTAAGTAGCTTGGGGCGTGTGAGTATACGTAAAATTTGAGTCCAGTGTGTGAGTTGTGGAGGGTCAGTGAATGTGAGTGAAATGTGGTTGGCGGTGAGGTGTAATGTGTAACTCAGAGATCGGGCGGCCGCTACTCGATACTAATCGGGGAATTTTCACACCTGGGTGAACATTTTGCGGTTCCCCGTCCCAAAAACCGAACATTTTCCAACCTCATGTCTTTTTTTTCCCCCCTCCCATCCTATCCTCCTCCCATTTTCCCCAACAGAGCGTTTGAAACCCAAGGCCCGCTATCAGACTGGACCCGGCTAGAAAGGCATTCGAGTAAGGGACGAAATCAGACGGGTTCCATTCGGCTCTCTCGGGTATTTGTCTGGGAAAACGAGCGAGCCCCAGTCGTTCTGAGCCGCAAACCCGTGAGAAGCTTCAGCGTAACGCAAAAAGCCGCGAGCGCCCTCCGCGATACTAGGAAACGAAACCAAAGCGAACGACTTCTTTCTCAGAGGGGGACACACACACACACACACACGGCCTGAAACATTTGCAAGTCGTCAGCTTCCTGAGGGCCACTAGAGTTCTAGATAGACGGGATCGGGAGCAAAGGCTGCAGGCAACGAAACCTGAAAAGAAAAGAAAAAAAGACAAACGGGACGGAACACGCGAGTCGAATTTGGCTTTGGGCTCCTTGGGAAAAGGCAGGCAGGCAGGCAGGCAGGCATAGCACGTCTGCGCAGCAGCACCAGCAGCACCAGCCCGGTCAAGGAAAGCTAGACGAGGGCGGATCTGAATACATCGTAGGTTTGATCACACACCACCAAGCCAGCACATATTGGTTACAGCAAGACTCTCCCCGCGGCTGGCCGTCCAGACTCTCACACATACAAACAGACACAAGCGCACGCAAAGAGACAGACACCACACCAAAACGCACACCCACTCTCTCTCTCGCAGTTAAACACCACACACCCGGCACATTACACACACCCAGAAAATGGTGCAGTACATCCTGACGCCATGGCGCGATCGCCGCGAGCTCCTCAAGGTTCGCCAGCAGTTCTATCCCGCTGCCCCAGCGTCTGCATCAGCAGTAGCAGCAGCACCACCACCAACAACATCCACACCCGCCGCCCAAGCTAGCGGTACGGCAGCAACAACAGCGTCCGCGGCCGCCGCCGCATCCCAGGCCCCAACAAGGTCTTGGATACGAGGAACGGCTGCACAAGCACAAGCACACGCGCCAGCGCCAGCGCCAGCACCAGCGCCGACGCCATTGTCAAATCCATCAGCGCCAACAAGCACCAACACCAACAAGACGACCCCGAGCAGCGACCAGCACCATGCCGTCGCGAGGGTGTCCATGTGGATGCAGCGAGGCAACTGCCCGCACATGGTCGAGTCCACGGCCCTGCTGACGGCCGCCATCCTCAGCGACGCCGAGAGCAAGGGCGGCGCTGGCACCTATGCCGTTCGTGCTGCTTACGCCGCTGCCTTTAGTCGGTACGTTTACGTCTCCTCCAGAATTCCCTCTATTCTCCCTCTTCTGTCACTTGTCTCTTTTGATTTCCCTCCCATCATCCCAAGGACTGTTTGCTAGTTCCAGGTTCAGGGTGCGGCGTGCCAGTGAGAGAAAGGAAAGTCTAATTGGGGCGTTTTACGTTCCGTCTTCCGCCCGCCTCCTACTCCTCCTTCTTTCTGCCCTTGAAGTTTTGTCTCTTGAGAGTGGCTTGAAACAATCTCAATCTTCCAGGGATCTGGGCCGCCTTTTCTCTTTTGTTACCTCTACATTTGGATTTCGGCGCATTTCATATCTCACATCTTTATTTGACTTTTCTGTCATTTTCACCCGTCCTTCGATACACACACACACTCACACACGCCCCCCTCTCACCACTGAAGCGCCCTACCGTAGCCCACTCACTCTCACTACCCTACCCGAGTCGGGTCCCGTCTGAAGGGCCACCAACAATCGCCTGATCTGCGTGACTGCTGGAAGCCACATTCACCAAGACAGGCTTTCACTTACACGCACACCGCGCCGACCAGCACGCCCACGCCCCCCCCCCCCTTTCAAGTTTCCCAGCAAGCCGGCGTGGTTTTGCATCTGGGCGTCTCACCTTGCTCGGGAAGCGTCAGCGGGTGCAGCGCACTTGGGAGCTATGGTCTGAGGGACGTTCCTGGCATCGGGGGAAGCTTGGCTCGGCTTGCTTGAGGCATGCTAAACTACCTATGGCCTCCTACCTATGGCCTCCTACCTATGGCCCGTCGCTGCAGATCCGGAATGCCAGAGTTCGTTTCTCACCCTGTAGTCAATGGGCGGTGGTTCGAGAACCTAGTATGGGTGTGAGGGCTTGCAAGTGTCTCGCCCAGATCATTCATTTACTTGAGCCTCCGGCCTCCGGGAGCCCTGCCTTTCCGACTCCGGTACACAGTGCACCCCTTATTTGATCAATCTGCCACCGTCACCGCCTGCCGATCGTTCTGTACTGCTTACACTTCTCCTTTCGTCTAGGTTTGTGACCGGGCTCTTGGATGGTCACCAGGATAAGCAACGCAAGCTGAGCATGTACTCGGTGGCAAAGACCATTGGCTTGCCGGCGACCTTTGTCGAGCTGCGGCACCAGGCGACGCACGAGACGCTGCCGTCTCTCGCGAAGCTACGTTCCGCCGCGCGCAAAGCACTGGTTTGGATCTGGGAGTATTACTGGCTGCACCTGGGGCCTAACGAGGTCGTGAGCCAGGCTCCCGAAAGGACCGGTCCCGTGGCCGCCGCCGCCGCCGTGTCTGCCGCCCCTGTGCGCCGCGAAGTCGTGGTTGCATTTCTGCAGGAGCAGGATGCTGGGAGGAGGGCTGAGATGAGGAAATGGATTGATGGGCTAGACGAGAGTCGGTTATTGGCGACGCTGGAAAAGATTGTTGAGACGCCGCCGAATGAGGCCGTCATGCTTGCCGCTCAGCGGTTATCAGAAGACATTGTGCGGAAGGGACGAGCAGATGGGCAGGGCGAGATGGAGGAGGACGAGGCTTCAGAGAGCGCTGGCACCGGATGGGCCACGTTTGAGGGGACTTGGAAGCCGCGACCTATTGGCGTCGCGTAAATCGTCGAGCCCGGTCGCGGGGTGTCGTCTTTGGATATCAAGCTTTTATACCATCATCGCCACATGGCATGTGCAAAAAACGAAATATCTCGTCTGTAATACAGGATCAAGATATCGCTGATGGAGTTGTTGTTGTAATGCACATACGACATCACGTGGGGTATGACGATGCCAATTGGATGGGGTCGTCTGTCGTTCCCCCCTCGCGGATTTGTAATAACGTCACCGTGACTTGCCGAGGAGCTCCCGAACGCAACAGCTTACAGCTCTAATCACCCCAACTGACTGCAGAGGAAACAGCTCTCTCTCTTCACACGCACAATTGCCTTTCATGAATACCCTCATCGCAAGGAGACCACTATTGAGACAGAAACTCGCTACCGTTACAGCTGCAGTGGGTTTTCTTCTATGCTGTTTGCTCCATTCAATTTGGGGTTGATTAGCTATTTGTGAGAGATTGGAAGCTTATACAAGAGGATTATAGCTTACGTTCGCCAACGCCATGCATATCCAGTCGATTCCCATGTGTACGTTTCCGCCCCAATCCTCCGATACTCTCTTTTCCTGAATGAGAATGAGGGTGAGAATGGAGAGATGGAGCGAATGTTCCCATCATGCTGATATGAGATTTTTGGCCTGTTTCCAGGGGTGGGCAGTAGTAACAACTACGCCTACCTGGTCAAGGACGACAAGACCAACGACGCCGTCATTATTGACCCCGCCAACCCGTCCGAGTGAGTTGTTTCTTTCGTTTTTTTTTTTTCGTTCATGCCTTGGATGCAGAGGTAGAGCATCTTGGATTGCGGTTGCGTTGCGTATTGAGCTTTAGCTGACAAAAATCTCTAGGGTGACACCCGTATTGCAAAAGGCTATCAAGAGCGGCGAGATTAACCTCACCGCCATCGTCAACACGCACCAGTGAGTCTTCATCAGGCCTTGGAGAAGTTGAACCGGAACGCGGAGATATCTGTGACATATCTGACATCCCTGGTAGTCATTGGGACCATGCGGGCGGAAACAAGAAGCTGGTACCGTCTTGTATCCTATTCCACCGCGCACTCTCGGACTGACAAGACGACAGCAAGGCGAACTGGGCCTGGATAAGCTCCCCATCATCGGCGGCAAGGACTGTGAGGGCGTGACGCGGACGCCGGGCCACGGCGAGTCGTTCAAGATTGGCGAGGGCATCGCCGTCAAGGCGCTCCACACGCCGTGCCACACGCAGGACAGCATCTGCTGGTTCATGCAGGACGGTGACCAAAAGGTTGTGTTTACGGGCGATACGCTCTTCATCAGCGGTGGGTTTCCTCTTCTCCTGTCTTTCTGCTTTTACTCTTGGGCCCCTTTCCTACTACCCTCTTGGACATTGGTGAGGCTCTCGTTCATCACGAGAGAGAAGATGCTTTCGAGACGGAGAGGTTGCATATCGGAGGAAGAAGGGGCGTAGCTTCGAAAGATTCTTCTGCTGACTTATCTGTCCTTGCTCTCCACTAGGTTGCGGCAAGTTCTTCGAGGGTAACGCGGAGGAGATGCACAGCGCGCTGAACAAGACGCTGGCCGCGCTTCCCGACGACACGGTCGTGTTTGTGAGTTCTCTTTTTTTCAAAACCCCTGTCAACATGACCCAGGAACGGGATGAAGCAGGGGGAGAGAAAGTGGGATGATTGCTGACAGAAAAACAAAGCCCGGCCACGAGTACACCAAATCCAACGTCAAGTTCGCCGCGTCGGTGCTTCAGAACGAGGCGATCCAGAAGCTGCAGGCTTTCGCGGAGAATAACAAGGAGACGCAGGGCAAGTTTACGATTGGGGATGAAAAGGTAACGTGATTCACGGTTCCTGGGTTTCCCCCCTTTGCAATGGCATGGGATGGGATAAGAGTGGAAGTGTGAGATTGTGAACATGAGCTAACGACTGTTTGGAAATATAGAAACATAACGTCTTTATGCGCGTCGAGGTGAGTTATCTGAAGCCCGTTTACCCCACGGAGCTTCGCGGGGCACCTTTACCTTCACTTTGGAGAGACACAGAGACTGATGGCGATTTTTGGTACGAAATAGGACCCTGAGATTCAGAGGGTGACGGGAGAGAGCGAGCCCGTTTCCGTCATGAATAAGTTGCGTGAGATGAAGAATAACTTCAAGTGAGTAAGTGAGCCAGGTTTTCCTCCTTCCGCTTTCTCTTCGTTTCTTCCCATGGCACCGGCCTTGTTTTGGACGCGGCTGTTGATGCCAGGGCTGGCAGTAAAGACGTGAGCAGAGCTGACGAGGAAACAGCCCACCCCCTGATTCCAAGATTTGACATAATGGGTTTGCTTGGATGGAGGCCGGAAAAGTTTAAGCCAGAGAATGTAGTGCTAGAGGTAAAAGTAGGCAGGATGCCAGAGCAAGTCTCTTGATCATGGAATCAAAGGAATGGCAAATCACGTCTCATACTTTCTTCTTATACAAGAACCATCAAGGCCATCAAAATCAAATCATCACGTCACGAGTATGTCTCCCACAGGTCCTAAACGCGACAACCACAAGTGATCGAAGCGAGAGTGTAAGCCGGGGAAGGGGCGGTACGTCCTGCGACGCGCCCCCGTTTGTTTAATCTTGCTTCACTGTCCACACGTGCTCGCTCTGGGTAAGAAAGCGGCAAGCTCTAGCATTTTTTAGAAGCTGTGTCATGTCATGTTTTTTTCTTGTTCGTCTCAATATTTTGAAGACGGTGGGTTTTGTCTCGTCCCGCTGAGGACTAAGATTGCAAAAAAAAAAAAAAAAAAAAAAAAAAACCACAAAGAGGATTGCCTTGTTTGGCGTGTTGCGATGCCTTGCGTATGTGGCGATGGCATGTTGCAGCTGGAAGACTCCCCGAGTAGGAAGCGCCACGGAGGAAGAGGGCATGAATAGCCGTAAGATGTAGTCCATCCATGGAGTTTTTGCATGGAGAATGGAGGATCCCAGATTGCTGGGCGCAGTTCCGGCGCGGAGGGCCGTGAGCTCTGAGTATGAGACACACTTCCTCTGGGCAGCTTCGACCTGCAGTAAAGTGTGGAGGCGGTTTTGACAGATCCGTCAACTCATGTTCTTCTCGACCACATTGCGTAGGTCTTTTGAAGATTGTGATCGGCGATGGAAGTGAAGCAGAGAGCGAAGCTTGCGCACAGGATCCAGTGAATAAACCTGCTTATCCGTCGGTCTCTCTGTTCAATCGCAAAGCGTTAGAGCTGGTTTGGGGAGTGTCATGGTTGAGGTAGTCGACATCTCTCACGATGAGTGAGTGTCGTGAGATTGTGATGGTTAAGAAAGAAGGGGTGCCGTACCTTGCGAGAGCTTTTATGTTGAATTTTTTTTTTACAACGGCGGGGCGGGCTATCGTGCGAGCGAAACTTTGCGCACATTATTGGCGCACTGTACGAGCGCGACTCCACAGCCCATTAACGCGTCCCCCCGGCGCTCTTTCGTCCCGGCGCATCCATCGTCATTGACCTCCAGCTCTCAGTCCCTGCCTCCCGTTACCCGTGCTTGCGACGACCACATTTACAAAGCCCACCACCTCTCCTACAGCCAACCAAACTCCCCCAAAACACAGAATCAGCATCTCAACACCATTTCAAAATAACCCAAAATGGTAAGCCACCACCATCCTCTTCGTAATTCCTCAACCACACTAAACTAACACGCCACCCCCAAAGCCCGCAAAACGGAAACCACCAACCCAAAAACCCTCCTCCTCAACAACAACAACAACAACAGACGTCCCCCGCCCCCGCGCCTCCAAACTCGCAAAAGAACACAACATCTCCGCCCACGAAGAGCGCGAGATCCGCGAGGCCTTTTCCCTGTTTGCCGAACCACTCAAAGGCTACTCCAAAGAAGGCGTCATGCCCACCTCGGACGTCCGCTCCTGCCTCGTCGCCCTCGGCATCCCACCTTCCTCCCGCGACGAGCAGGCCGAGTTCGTCGACATCTTGGACCCCGAGGGCGAAGGCTTCGTCGCGTACGAGCCGTTTTTCGCCGTGTGCGCGTTGAAGTATCATCAGAGAGAGGAGCGGGGCGGAGGCGAGGCGAGGAGGAGGGAGGTGGAGGAGGCGTTTGGGCTCTTCACGGGGGCCGGGGCTGGAGGTTCTTCGGCGTCGGGTTCTGCTGGGGCGAGGGATGTCATAACGATTGCGGATCTCAAGAGGGTTGCTGCCGTGCTTAGGGAGGACGTCAAGGACGAGGTGCTGCGGGATATGATCCTCGAGGCCAACGGGGGCGCTGGCGTGGGCAAGGGGGTCAGGAGGGACGAGTTTGAGGAGGTTATGCGCCGGGCTGGGGTTTGGCGGTGATTGTGCGCGCGCGCGCACGCGATCGATCTACCTCACTGACTGGTTGGACGTTAAGAGGCTGCGTGACCTTTGCGGCGGGCTTTGGTCCTGCATTATACCCCATTGTGCTGGCGTTTGGGAGGCACGGCGATTGCATTTTCCTTTGATTGTTTCGGGCGCGCTTGCACCATCTACGAGCTGCTTCTCTTCTGATAGTTGGAACCTGTACCTCACGCCTTCAAGCTTCACAGTCTACACGAGTAGCTGCAACATGTTGCAGCATCTGGGACACTTTGGTAAATACTGGTGGTAATGATGATTCTATCTGATCTCTGCAGCCCATATGGCATCCGTAGGGTGTGATATCTTCACCACCCCCAAGAGTTTGTATTTCCATGCTGATAAAACAAGAGGTCGAATGAAAACGCCCGTGAGATATGCTTATTCCGGCCTTGTTACTTGTGTGTTGGTGGGTTGCCAATTACCGTGGCCTGAGATTAAGTACGGACTTAACCTGACTTGCCCAACAAATCAAAACACATATAAATTCCCACTCCCGTATGTTAGGTGAGATTAAGACAAAGTGAGGTTCCTCCTCACCGCTGCGTCCGTCACTGAATGGGGGTTGCGTTTTGTGCAGAGAAGAGAAAGGGCTCGGAAGAGGGATTCATACGGAGGCCACGCTATTTAGCCTCGGAACCGCAGCAAAGACCCTCGCAGACCCTAGCAAGGCCTTAAAAGGGGGCAGAGTGCGGAGGGACGCTACCGGCCTTCTAAGCCGGCGCACCTCCGGCCGCAGCCTTGGCCTTATCAGCCGCCGCCTTTTGTGAGTCGATGACGACCTGGAGCTCCGGGGGTGCCTTGAAGCCGGCATGGTCCTGGTGACGCTTGTAGAAGTAGTTATCGGCCTTGGGGCGCAGCTCGGCGGGGAGCTCCTCGAGTACGCATTCGAGGATAGCATCGACGGATTTTTGCTTGGAGCCGTCGCGGTGCCAGATGGAGATGAGGTGGGAATTGAAGCGAACGGACAGACCAACGCCACAAATCTGGTCGTCTGTAGGTAGTCAAGGGTTAGCTAACTTGCGCTTGTGGTGAAGGAGATAAAAGAGATGGTAGAGAGGGCGACTTACTGTCGTCTAGTACGCTCTGCAGCTTCTCGCCAATGGCAAGAAGCTGAACGCGAGTCCACACATCGGGCCCAATGTTCTTAGGCACGCGGAAGGTCCAGGCGCCGCCGTTGATGTTGCGGCGGTCCTCCCAGATAGGCTTGAAGCCCTGCTTGAAGAGGTATATGGACTCGCGCATCTTGATCTGGTCGACGGGTGTGTTGTTGTTGTACTTCCAGAAGTCCTGGACGGATTCTATCTGCGCGCCAAGCTGTTCCAGCTGCACCTTGTACTCCTCATCGTTGCCCGACTTTTGCTGGTCCTTTGCTTGTCTGGAGCAGTGAGGATTGGGAGTTAGTCTTGAAAGCTTCAGGGGTGGTGGGGGCGGGGTTGCGCAAGATCTGGTACATGCGCCTGAGGACAGACACTGAGGTAATTTCGAGAGGAGCACTCACTTGTCAAAGTAGACATTCCAGTAGTGTTGTGTCGGCAGAGGGCGCATGGCCTTGAGGAAGTTGCGCTTCGCATCATCACGCTGGTCGGCCGGGGAGCTGACACTGGGCGAGTTGGGGTCGGTTGTGCTCTGGGAGAGCCCCGACAGGCCACGGGTGAAGAGAGCAGGTCTAGCGGCCATGGCGTGTGAAGTCGTTGGGAGGGCGGTGGAAAGGGGGTATCGAGGAGGAAATGCAAAAAAAGGGCAACGGTAGGGAAAGTCGCAGCAGCAAGAGGACGGAAAGAGGTGTCGAGCGTCAAGTCGTGAGGCAAGTGTCCTGTTGAAGGTGAAGTTGAGGTCGTATGTTGCGTCGCTGCTCGCTGGACCTGGTCGGGGATCGGGGGTCGGGTAGGCGTGACCGAGAGAGGCACCTGAAAGAGGGACGGCGGACGGGACACAGTGACAAGTTACACGCTGCTAAGGTAGACTGAGGTGCCCTTGCTTTTTTGGGTCGCTGGTCGTTGGTTGGCTCGGTGGAGTGCGGCGGTGCCTAATGTAGCAACGAGGGGCAGAAGTGGGCAGGCCGTTGACGGGACGGGGGACGGGGCACGTTTAAGTGCCTGAGGGCCGGCGTTGTTAGTTGCAGTATGCTGGTTGGTGACTTGGCTTGCGTATGTGTGGTAACGTGGTTGTTGGCCCGGTAGGAAAAGACGTGGAGAGAGAGAGAGAGAGAGAGAGAGAGAGAGAGAGAGAGAGAGAGAGGCTTGGGCTTGTTTGGAAATCGCCAATGAAAGGACCGGTTTGGTGGGTTTCTTGGGCTTGTCTGGGGGAGTACAGATACAGATACAGCCTGTTCGTATGTATCCGTGGCCTGTAAGGAGAATCCGTATTGGCAGATCAGACAGCGAGATGGCGTGGGGAGGGGAGATTTGATTGTCAGGAACAGATGCCCTTGTCTTCGCAGCTTGCTTTGACGCCCGGTGGTGTTCCTCCCAAGTGTCAATTACCTAGTGCCAGGGACGCGACAGAGCGACACAGGTGGACCAGAAAATACCTGTTATACAGAACAAGGCGTGACGACTGGCGACAGCAGCTGAAAATCGAGTTCCTTGCAACTCTGAATGACTCGACGGTCGTATCCAGGGAGTTGGTGACAAAGAATTGTAAATAAAAAAAAATACAATAGGATGGCGACCGAGGGAGAGGCGGTAGAGAGAAAGGGGAGGAAGAGACCCAGGGACGAGTCCGCGGCGAGGTAGGGGTATTAAGCAAGAGGCTGTCCATCTCATTTCATCCCATCTCTCATCACGGCGATACTCAAGATACCTCGATGGTGCTCCTCTTTCTTGTGCTTCAGAGCATGGAACGGCGGATACATTCTGCAGGGTGCATCACAGGGAACACAAGAAACCTAGGGCCGCAACACAAGACGACATCCAAGCGATCCCAAAGGGCAGGGTATCTTTGCTGAAGGCGGGATACAGAATAATTACATAGTAAAGGGTGGTAGTCTGAGAGATCCATCGGAGAGAGTGGGCAGGAAGCCTCGAAATCCGGTCCAAAGTCACTCCAGGGCCCAGATCTGAGGTCTGAAGCGCAGCAGGACAGGGCACCTTGGTCTTCTGGACAATGGCATATGAGGGCCGTGAGAATAAGTGAGAAGTGAGCAGACTCCAGACTCGACTTCTCGTCAGAGTCGTCAGCGTCTCGAGGGGGAAGGGGGAAAAGGAGACGGGACGGTACACGAACCGTCCGAGTGCACAACCTATCCAGTCCAGCCTGACTGCACGGGTACGTACAGGATACATATGTACACTGCAAGGTACAGGCGAATGAGGACGTCTCGGGCGCGAGTCCCGCTCCTGCTCCTGCTGCCCATGTGGTGGTGGTGGTGGTGGAAGGAACCTGCCGCTGCACACATGAGGCACGCAGGCGAAACGGCAACGGCGTCTTCCTGCGGTCCTGCCGTAGCCTGTAGGTACCTTAGGTAGGTAAGGTAGGTACGGACCTAAGGTGACATTCCGCGGCAGCCGTCACGGCCGTCCGTCCCGATCTGACTGTGGTGTCTGGAGACGCTGGAACCGACTGGCATTGGCAACTTGGCAAACTCAGAGCCGACGAGTGACTTGAACGGCTGGGACGGTGTCACAGTAGTCGATCCATTGCCTAGAGAAAGAGGAAAAAACCCAAGGAATGGTAGAACTTTGGTGGGAACATCTTACCGCCCTGAAACATCCAGCCGCCGGCGCGGCCAGTGATAAGTCACGGCGACGAGGGTGGGCAAGGGGAGCAAAGACCGGATGTTCAGGTCCACGTTCGAGAAGGAAGGTTATTACCCACGTTACCGTACTTCATACGGATACAGCTGTTCCTTTCGGTTCGGCGGTTCCTGAAGGTGGTGTAAATGAGCAGGGTCGCCGCCTGGCAGGGGGTTTCCAGCTTCCAGGAACAGGGACCAGGAAGGAGGCATGTGCCGCCATGGGAATGCAAGGTACCTTACGCGCAGATTTCGTTGGAAACCGCAAGTTACGCAACCTCCCCGCGAGTTTCCAAGTTGTCGAAGAGGAGCTGATCCGAGCGAGGCCAGATGCCTTCCCTACCTTGATAAGCACTTGCCTGTCAATGAATGGTCAAGAAAGAGCATCTTGCAAATGGAAGAAACTGCGACAATCACCTGCAAGCCTGAATGTATCTACTGCTGCGGCAGAAGGCACATTCTTCCGGATACCTCAGTCCCCATGTATCCAGCTATGACCCTTAACATCCCATTCAACGTCTGAGCTGCTCGAGCAAACATCATCAAACGGAGCGGAGAATGAGATGCATCCACAAGATCAATTGACTCTCGGAAACTTCGTCATAGTCACACTAATGCACGCTCTCTAACCACTCGCACACATCGAAGCTCGAGAGTCGGGTTCGACGCCTAGCTCAACCTACAGCCCGTTCACTCAATCTCTCTTCGCGCTCCTCGCCCTTTTGGCAATCCTCTAGAAATCACTCGCATATCGAACAGGAACCCCTTAAAGCCAATAGGGGAGAAAACTTGAGATGGATCTCGGGAACAGCATATCGCAGAAAGCTCCGACGTCAAATATCCGAGACGTGTCGGTTCCCACGAATGTATCCGCGGAAAGCACGGCAGACAGGACCATATGGCTATGAGCCGTCGCCATAGACAGACCACGAGTTGATCGGCAAACTAACTCCTCACGGTCTTTCGTGGCGATTAAAAAGTTTTATGGCAAGTCAATTGATCGCAACCTGCTTCGGACAGCTTCCCCGGCGAAGAAAACTGAAAACCCAAATGGCATTTGCACCCGAACTATACTCAGGAAACAACACCAAGCTTCATCCAATGCCCAATTCAACAGCCCAAATATGTTGATCGAAAAAAGAGGGGGCGAAAAGCCAATCTCCATAACAAATCGAGCGCATTATCAGAATTTGCGATTGCGAGAGCTTCTGGAATTGGCACGCCCAAACGATAGCCATTTACCTAGATGTCCATCCAACTCTCTAAACCCTCGTCGGACATTTGCTTCCTAGGGCTGGCAAGCTTGACACTCGACACGGGTAGCAAGACACACGTCAAAGTTTCGACGGCCAACGGTTTCCGGAGCACGTTGCCCGCCATTGAAAGAACCAAACCGCTGTCTCGAAACTCCCCCTGACAAAGTAGTTCACCGGCTTGCTTCGCCGTCGTCTCTTCCGGATGCTTCATCCCTGCCTTTTGTCTCTCTGCACTCCCGTCACCAACAACCAACCCTGTCTAACTCTAACAACGACATCCCTCTTCGGCTCTCGACATTCAGCGCATTCCCAATTCGCAGTAATCCTGATGGGACAATTGACCATATATCTCTGGGGATAGCGCAAGCGGCACGTAGCGGTCCCAGAAGGCCCTCCCGCGCCTTGCTCCATGCACCTTGACTTGTGAAGCACCGCCAGGACGGATCCCCTGTTTGAGATCAATGGTAACAAGCGAAGAACACCCGCCCACCTTCCGTGAGATCTGACAGGCCGTATCGTGTTCCTGCAGGTTTCAATCGTGACGTGTCCCGGCAGAGGAAACCAGTTGCTCACACTGCGTTATCGTCACTGGTGTCAAGTTGTCGACCCTATACGAGAGTTTTGATGTGCCATGTACTATGTGTTGACTGCAAACTATGGATCCTCTCTCCCCCCCTCCCCCCCTTAAACAAAGTAAACCCCGAAGAATAAGGACTCCCAAAACACCATGCTTACCATTGTCGTCTTGGCGCTTCGTAACAATCAATAGCCGAGCTCTTTCGTCCGCAACTCACTCATCGAACCCCCTCAAACAAATAACCCTAGAAGTTCATCTTGCTTCCCGCAGGCGGCGTCTCGCCGACCCAGCGCTCTTTGTCGTCTCCAATCTTTCTCCGGAACATGCCCAGATCGCTGAGCAGACTGCGCATGTACTCCTGCATGTCGCTGGCATTATCCTCCATAACGTCCGAGTCGTACGCCGTGTCGTCCGAGTCGTCGTACAATGACTCGGCGTCCTCGCCATTCTCCTCCTTGCCCTCGAGACCCGCCGACTTGGCCCTCTGAGCCTCGTCCTCCGCTTCCTCGACCTCAGGCGGCTTAATCGTGACGGCCGGGATCGGGTTCTTGAGACTCTCGAGCGCGAGCTTGAGATGCAGCCGCAAGGCCTCGTTCTCCGTCTGCAGGCTACGAATCTTGCCCTCGGCGACGAGACTACGCTCCTCCATCATGCGCTGCATCGTAGCTACGTGGTTCTGGTACTCCTCGAGCTTCTCCTCCTGGTCCTTGGTATCCTTCTCCCGCCGGCGCGATTCCGATACAGACAGCTGAAGGGCGCGGATTTCGTCCGCCATGGCTGCGATTTGGGCATCGCGCTCCGCCGACGAGATCTGGTCTTGGTTTACAACCGCACGCGTACGGATGCGCTTGGCTTGATCTGCGTAACGAAGCGTCGACAGAGTCTCCTCGTAATCCGACGGCGCGATGCAAGCAATCATTGCCGTTTTGCTGTTGCCTCCCAGCGAATCCTTCAACAGCCATGTGAGGATTGAGTCTCGGTATGGAACGACGTCCTTGCTGCGCTTCCTCGAACCCGCCTTGGCATCGGCAAGAGCTCCTATCACTCGTCCGAGGGTCGTCAACGACTTGTTGATATTGCTGCCTTCGCGGAGCCGCTGGCCGGTTGCCTC